CCCCAAAACCCCAAAACCCCAAAACCCCTTTTAATTCAAAAATTATTGATTAAAGACATTTATAAATTTACATTAAAAATGAGCAAACCTACAAAGAAAGGAGTCTTACATCAAGCTGTAGTTGAATATCTCCTTATGAATGGATGAAATGAAACTGTAGATCTCCTAAATCAAGAATACCCAAAAGCGAAGAAGGCAAATGCTAAAAAGAACTATGATCATGGATCAGTTAAAGCTGCTATGATGTCTGCCTTCAATTCTGGAAACTATGAAGAGTTTTTCAGACTTTGGAATAGGTTCATTCCGATTGGTATCAGAGAGAATGACAGAGAAGCAGTAAAGCTTGATTTCTACATTCACATTTATTTCACTATTTTTAATTTACACCCGATGACAAAGAAATCAAGTGTTGGAGTACAGAAGGAATTTAAAAAGAGGAAGGAATGGTTTAGACTCTATCTGGATACAAAAGGAAAGGACCTCTCAGAGACTTCTGAATTCCTTGCCTATTATGCTCTTCCATACATTGGAAACCCAATCGATCATCCTTCATTCAAAAGTATGTTTAGTGGGAAATGGCTGAAACAAATAGTGGCTCATACTGAATCTTTTGTATCTGACAACATAATGAAAGATCCAAAATCTAAGCTACAATCTTACCATGCTGCTTACAAGAAGGTGATGAAAGAAGAAGGAGAGGAGTCAATAGAAGCAGCTGTTGAGATAGACCAACTTTCCGAACAACTTATTAATGAAAGAAGGAAATTTCTAGAAACTAACGCTCATCTCAAGAAAGTCAGAAATATTCTTCTAGCTAGTCAGACCAAGTGGAGTGGGTTTTCACAAAATTTGTTAAAGATCGCCGAAGATTTTTATTTCATTATGGAAAAATTTAAGGTCACAGATCAGGTCGACCAGAAATGGCTAATGGAGAAAGTGACTAAGTTATCAAAATACAAGAATTATTTAATGGCTCTACAGAATGAGAAAGATGCTAATACAAGCAGGATGGACCCTTCAAGAGTCAATAGTGCAGTTTATCAGCCAAGACCTCCTGAGACTGCTCATGATGAGTCAATAGATCCAACTGCTCCTGGTGGTAATGCTTCTTTTACAGATTCAAAATCTGGAAGCTATGTGACTTATTATCAAAATCAGGATAATTTATATCAGCTCAAATATGATCCATCACAAGATGATAGAATTGCCCATGGCTACTACGAAGGACAACCTGTAGAAATGAATCCTGATGATGAAGACCAGATATCTCTTGCTCCTCTTGATTATAACAAAATAAAGATGTTTATCTTCCACTTACAGGAAGAAGTAAAGGTATGAATTACCCTTCAAGCTCTCAAACAAAGAATCTCAAGGTCTCGAAATGGAAATCAGAGGAAACATGTGCTGTTTGCTTTTGAAGAGTATGATATCTTGGGATGTAAGAGCCAGGAGGATCAGAACCTCCTCAGCCTGCTTGAATCATCTCCAAGCATAAAGCTCTATACAGTCTTGCTCATAGACAGTTTGGTTAACGAAAGCATAGGTAAGAAGTACATCTCAAAACAAGATGGATTAATTGAGAAATTATTTGAAATCATGCAAAACGAAGAAGGAGAAACTCCTCTAAGAACCTCTACTTTAGTGGTATTCCAAAAGTTATCTCTCGGAAGAGAGGCCCAAAGTAAGATGATCAACCTTGATGTTATCAAATGGACTGTTGATAAGCTGAAGGTTGAGGGTCAGATTTTGAACAGTTACTCTCTCGAATATGCATTCGCATTACTCATGAATTTATCTCTACGAACACAAGGAAAAAGAAAATTTGAAGAACTCCACAGTGACGCTCTCAATGTCCTCAATGAGTTCTTAGAACATGAGAACTCTGAAGTTAGAACTTATGTGAACGGTACATTGTACTGTATTCTTGAACGACCTAAGATTAGAGAAGAAGCTAGATCTCTCAATATGGACGAGGTCCTCAGAATTCTCAGCAAGAAATTCGAGCCAAGATTCAAGAGACAGATTGATTACATCCTTGACCAGCTTGAGGGAGACAAGGAAGGAGAAGGCGAAGGAGAAGCAGATATCAAAGATGATAATTCCTCTGATGCTCTTGATGGCAACAGTGAAGAAGGCGAATTTGCAGATGTGGAATCTATTGATTCTGAAGGAGACGACTACAGTAATTATGAGGATGAAGAGGACGACTTCAGCAAAATTCCTCTGCAAGGAGAAGAAGCTGAGATGTTCCCCAGAGGAGAAAAATGGCTCATGCAAGAATTCTTACTCGATGACAATGAAGAAGCCAATAAACAGGATATGATCTTGTATTCAAAAGTTGAAGAATATAATGAAGAGAGAAGAAGGAGAAGGGAAATAATGGAAAAGAAGAGAATGGAAGAGTCAATGACTTCATCAAGAGATCAAGATGCCCATCTTGACAAACCACATATGAGACCTCTCACTCCCAGCAAAGTTCCTTCACAAAAGTATAAGGATAAAGCAAGCGTTTTCGAGCCAGATTCAAGTAGTAGGAATATGGCTTCGGACATTAGTAGATCAAGATATGAGATGCAAAGAACTCCTCCTGACCGGGATGTTCGAGTAAGAGAAGCATTGTCTCCTCTTAGTAGAAATCAACATTCAGTTAGTTCTCCAGCAAAATCAATGAAAGCTTCTGCTCCAATGGAGGCTTCTTTTGAAAGAAAAGAAGAGGAGAAAGAAGAAAAGGAGGAGCATGGAATTTACATTGACCATAATGAAGATAAGCAGATAATCCCAAAAGAAGAGAATCTCCAAGATCAGAATCAAAATAAAAAGGAAAACGATGAAAAACTAAAAGACCCTGAAAAGCAAGCAGAACATCAAGAAGCGTTCACTGGTAAGGACAAAATCCGTAGGACGCCTCCTAAGGAGTCTAAACTCCGATATCTTCGGGAAAAGAAGAAGAAGATGCAGCAGAAGCCACATTTGTACAAATAAGGCATTGTCTAACTCAATTTATTCTTCTCTAAAAGGGGTTTTGGGGTTTTGGGGTTTTGGGG